CACATATCTATATATATGTACAGCACACACTTAAAGCCAAAAAACAAATGCAATAACAAACCATGAATTTTAAATGCAATACTATTTCATTCACTTCACCAATTCTTCTTCTTTTTCTCTTCACTCAAATTTTGCTTTTCACTCTCTCAATTCTTCACACAGAAATGATCAAAGGAAGACAAAGAAGACTCTCCCTCTCTCTTTCTTCTTCTCGGCAGAACTTCCCTTCCTTCTCTTCTCTTTTTCTTTTATTCTTCTCTTCTCTTTTCTCATTTTTTTATCTTCTTCCCGATTCTACCTCTTTTAAAATTTGTCACTATTAAAAAAAATATCTGGCAAATTTCACTTTAGTCCTTACTTGTTTTTAGCTATTACACTCTACTCCCTCCAAAGTTCCAAAATTTTACACTTATCCCTCGAAAATCAAAAATATATTTTAATAAAAATCCCATAAAATATGTGGTATTACAATCTTTCCCCCTTAAAGAATTTCGTCCTTGAAATTTAAACACTTGATTAGAGTAACTCTGGGTATTATGCCTGTATATCCTTTTTGCACTCCTAGGTTGCTTCCTCTTTCGTATGAGTATTCCATTGAATCTCTACCCAAGGGATGGTCCTGGGGATCGTGGGTTATGGGCCCACCACGCTTCCATTGTGCCACTATGATGTTCACTTCTACTAGTTAGCATAATAAACACTTTGAGTCAAACTCTACAATCTCTCTTTAGTACATAGTCACCACATCTTGCAGCTGAATCTTCAATCCCCTTAACTTTATTGGTGCTAGGTACGCTTGACATTCCTTCTGGGGTACTTCCTCCTCTAATGTGGCCTAGGCCTCTTATTGGGTCATGGTAATTACTCAGCCTGATTATAAAGTTATCTCGATTCTTTTTGTCTACCTTTGCTGCCACGACTCGTACTAGTCTTTCCTTTATTGCACGTAGTGGGTTCTTCCCTAGGTTGGGACCTCTATTGTCCCTCAACACGACTACTTACTCCCTGGGTGCCTTACTGGACAACCTTCTGAGATACACTCCCACTTTGAGACAAATTGGGGCACTCTCTCTCTTAATATGTCCATGTTGTCCACACTGATAACAGACTGGAGCTCTGCTTCAACATTACCCTTCATGGTATCTGCCATATTTGTCACACAACATCTTTTGTTCCCACTAAAAGCTCTATTGCCTGACCTTTGGCCATTAAATTTCCCTTACCTCCCGCTGGCCCTAGAGCTCCAGCTACTAGATGTACTAGAGAAACTACTTTCACGCCTCTGTACACGATTCCTCCCCTTCTTTCCTAACTACACTCCGCTCTACCCTCATGGCAGATTCTACCAGCCAAACAAAATCTGAGTAGGAGTATCTAACCATTGCTATTATGATTCTCTTCCTAAGGCCATCCTCAAGCTTCCTACACTTTTTTATGGTATTCTACTTCCTTGAATTGTTCGCTGTCCGACTACGAGTAGCTCAAGTAAACGATTGGGCCAATCCCTCAATGGTTCGCGCTATCCCATACTCACTATTAGGGGAATGAATCCCCTGTTCTATCTCTTGCTTCCCTTCTGACCCTTCCATTTACGGTCCCCCTACATGGGCCATAAAAGCTTCCCCCTCGATCCTCTTTTCCTAATCCTCCCTTAACCCTGAGGATCGATTATTTTCCCTTACAGGTTGAGTGCGTAGTCGGCCTCGTTGACACATGATCAAATCTATGAAACAACTCACTTGTTTAGACCCAAAATATGTCATGCATGCTTATGAAAATGCACTCAGAATCCACACCTAAGTTATGATCAAAGTTCTACTTGTCGTAAGGTAAATATTGATCTTCTTTATTTCAATGGTAATTTGCATGTGGAAGATTTTCTTAATTGGTTAAAGGAAGTGGAAGAACACTTGGTGAATATTCCGAAAGAAAAGCACGTTAAACATGTCTTTTATTAGAAAGCTAAGCATATGATTGGTGGAAACATGTGGAGTATAATAGAAGTAGATGGGAAAAAGGCCAATAAGAATATGGTCTAAATTGAAGAAATTATTAATAGAAAAGTTCTTACCACAGGAATATCATCAAAAGTTTTATCAACCACCCTATTTTTACCACAAGAATATCATCAAAAGTTTTATTAGCCACCCAATCTTCCATACTACCCAAACTACAACAAGTTAGTCATGCAAAAAGAGTCACAACCAAAACCACCTTGTCGTATTTCTAACCCAATTTCAAATCAAGAGTTCCTAAAGAATCTCTCATCTATGACTTTTAAATTAGAACCTAATCAAGAAGTTGCTTGTAATACTTGAGATGTCAAAGGTATGTTCCCAACTCTAAATAATCTTTTAGATTAAAGGGTAGGCAAAGTGGCTTATAGACTTGTGTTGCCAGTGAGTATGGAAAGAGTCTATAACATCTTCCATGTTTTGTTGCTGCGTAAGTATGTTAGTGATCCTTCACATGTGCTTCAGACAGAAGAAGTGGAATTATAGGATGATTTGGTTTATGAGGAATGCTCAGTTCAGATCCTTGATAGAAAAATAAAAGAACTCAGAAACAAGCAAATTTCACTTGTAAAAGTGTTTTGGAGGAATCACAAGATAGAATAAGCTACTTGGGAAGTGGAGCAAGATAGGAAAAGTAGATACACGAAGTTGTTTTTATAATTTCGGGAACGAAATTATTATAAGGGGGAGAAAATGTAATACCCAAGATGTCAAAAGTATATTTCCAACTCTAAATAGTCATTTAGATGTTAATTTTATGTTAAAAAACATAAAATATAATTAAGGGCAAAATAGTCAATTCATTTGAAACGGTATGAATCAATTTCCATAAAAAGGTATTAGGGGTAAAATTGTCATTTTGCCTATGGATAAGCATTGCAAAAAATCAAGGATAAGTAGACTTAATTGCATTTAATGGCATTAATTAAGTAATAATTATGTTTAGTGTCAAAAGACTTAATTGCTCCTATATGAGAAATTAAGGACTTGTGAGTTTAATAATTAAAATAGTTGGGCCAATAAGGTGATTACATGTTATAAGGAAGATGAACATGATAATTCAATAAATTTTGGCCATAAATTTCGACCAAGAGAGGAGAATGAATCATTTTTCTTCAACCTCTCACAACTTCTCTCAAATTCCACTAATCTTAGTATTTGATAGAAATTGTGAGAGGTTGATGAAAAATTGTTCATTCTCCTCTCTTGGTCGAAATTTATGGCCAAAATTTGTTGACTTCTCATGGTCATTTCCCTTATAACATGTAATCACCTTATTGGTCCAATTATTTTAATTATTAAATTCATAAGTCCTTAATTTCTCATATAAGGGCAATTTGGTCTTTTGGCTCTAAAAATAATTATTATTTAATTAAATACAATTAAGCATACTCATTCTTGACTTTTTGCAATGTTTATCCATAGGCAAAATGACTATTTTGCCCCTAATACCTTTTTATGGATAATTGATTCATACCATTCCAAATAAATTGACTATTTTGCCTTTAGTTATATTTTATGTTTTTTAACATCTAAATGACTACTTAGAGTTGGAACATACCTTTGACATCTTGAGTATTACATTGATGGTACACCAACGGAAGGAGAAAAAAATTCTTAGATAATCTTTGAAGCGGTTTTTGACGTAGTTCATGATTTGAGCATTGAAGAAAAAATGTTTGAAATAGTTCACCAAAATCATAATAAAGTGGTTGAAGAACAAGAAATTCAAATTAAAGATAAACATGTTGAAGTTGAGCATTTGAAAGAGAAGATATAATTAAAGAAGATTGAGCAAGAGCAATTTGTCCTAGAGGAGTAGATTGAGCAAGAAGAGTCAGAAGACTACATTCAACAAGAAGTATACATCAAGTAGAGGATCAAGAGGGTGAAACATCGACTTGAAGATTGTGGTGCAAGACAATTCTCCAAGGAAGATCGATGACGTAGGGTATTTGTTTGCTCCAACGGATGACTTACTTCTCTACTTCAAGTATTACCTGTCAGATTGCAAAACTCGAGGACAAGTTTTTTTAGAGGGGGAGTATGATGTAGGACAAATTTTCCTAAATTAAGATTAGTTTTTATTTTCCTTTTTGTTATTAGATTTTCTAATTTTAGTTAGGATTTTATTTTTGCAAGTTTAGTTATTTTAGGATTTTAGTTAAATTAGGAAGGTTAATTTTTGTTTTCTTATTTTATAATTCCTTGTAATAGTAGTATTAGGATTTTCTTATTTCTTGTTCTAGTAGTATTAGGATTAGTTTAGTATAAATGTACTTTTTATCTTACAAACAAAATCAATGGTTTATCAACAAAATTTTGAGTTCCCTATGACCAATGCTCACCTATCAGAGACAAAAAAATGTAAATTGAAATTTCTGCAGAATACATTTTCCTTTGGGTTAACAATTGTTTCAGTGCTCTATTGTAGGGAAAGGATTGAAACTCTAGTTTACGGATGTACTAGAGCTAACCTTTGATAGAGTTTGGGTTGGTTTCAGCTGGATCAACTAAGCTGCCCCTCCTGAATTCGACCTCATTCATTATTTGGCCAACCCAACCTATGTACAAACTCAATAACATTATAAAAAATATTAGAACTGTACAGATATATAACAAATTTTGCTATCTGAGTGCAATTCAGGTAGGCCTAACCTGGACTTGACCTACTCATCACCAGCTTGGGGATGGGATAACTCCAACTGACTCTTTTAAGAAATTCCAGCCGTAATATCTGTTTAATTTGGTTAGGCTATGGGGTTAGGAAAGAAATACCTAGATCTAGGTTCATGTTTAGATCTCTTTTTGTAAAAATTAGCTTTGTGCAAGCTTTTGATTGGATGTCATTTTTTTACCAAACTTTTAGTGTGCATGCGTGCTTGAAAGTGTATTTTTAGTTTGACATGTGATTTATTCATGTAACTTGGTAGTTTAGTGATGAAAAAATGGTGAAAGTTTGGTGCTGATAATCTTGTAAACCAGTTATATGAAAGAAGTGTTGGACTCTGTCTTCATCAGTCGCCTGGTTGACATTCTGAAGACCTCTTGCCCTAGTTTACAGAGGAAGGCAGCTTCTGTCCTTGAGTTTGTGACAATTATTGACCCAAGCATGGACACAATCATTTCGGCGGATGTTGAATCTGGTCTGGATGCCATTTTCCAACAAAAAGTTTTGGAAGGTATGAGGAACAATAACACTATGTTGTAAAGACTAATTATCTCATATCTGTATGTTTAAGTTTGAATGCTATTTTGGATCCTTTTTTTAAACTTAAGCCTTATGAGATTGCTAATTCCTCATCATGGTTTCATAGCTTGAGTGCGAACCCAGAAAATCTATCCATGGTGTTAACTTCAGATATTTGCATGTGGTTTGATCCTCGTGATAATAAAATTTAGCCTTGTATTTGAGTGTAGCTAGAATTTAAATACTATTGTTGACCGATTTCCAATAAGCTTGAATATTGGAGTGATGGTTCCTCAGCATTGTAAATCCTCCACATCTGAGTTTAACCCTTTAGTTCCCTGAAGATACGAGTTGCCATGTTGTGCAAGCAAACTTTTTTGTAGCTCGAGTAAATCCTACATTTGCCACTACATAGAGAGTTTTAGTTCTAGAAGCCTAGATTAAATGCTATCTCGAGTGGTGTGGAATAGTATTATCTTCGCACCTGTTTCAAATGAATAAGTGTGTTATTTCCTGCAGATTTAGAGTCTGATGTTGAAGCTCAGCAACCAGAAAAATATGCCCTTGAAATTGAAGAAGCTGGTCTCACAATCTCTGCTGCATCGCGGCTACTGACAAAATTGCTTGATTCCAAGCAGTTTTCTCAAACCATAGACTCCTCTCATTTCACTGAACTGCTGCGCAGAATCCTTAAGTCAGATATCCCTCTTCACTACAAAGACTGGGTTGCTTCCTGTCTAGTTAAATTAATCTCTCTGTCCGGTTCTAACATCGACTACGAAAATCCAATCAACATGGAGGTAACGCTTTATGAGACAATCCCAAGACTCATCGAGCAAATGAAATCCTCATTCTCGCCCGAAGCTCAGGAATCTGCAGTTGTAGAACTGAACAGAATAATATACGAAGGGGTGGTAGATTCGACTCGAGCCATTGCGTCAGAGGGCGGAATATTTCCATTGGTGAAGCTCATAGAAGAAGGGACTGAAAGAGCTGTTGAAGCAGGCTTAGCAATACTGTATAATCTGAGCATGCACAGTGAAAATCACTCGGCCATTATAGCTGCTGGTGCAGTCCCAGTTTTGAGGAGAATTGTTCTTTCACAGAGACCACAGTGGACAAGAGCACTTCGGTTGTTGAGGAATTTGCCCATTTGATGAAACAAAATACATACTTGATGTTGAGACAATGTAGAATTTATGTAAATCACATTTGCTTCATTATGTAACACCATTTTTATGAATTCATTAATATTTTTAATAATAAATATTAACCTTTCTTGAAGTTCTAAAAATCATTATAAATATTTTGGGATCTTTCTTCAAATTTCATAAAATTCTCATGGGTGGAATACAAAATTTGGATCAAACAAAAAATACAAGATTAATTCAATTTATTTATTTATTGATCCTCCATTTTTTTTAAAGTCTAAACAGGAACTTATATATAGAGTTAGTCACTTATTCTCTGATATAACTTTTTTAAATTCGGATCACTGTCAGTAAATAGAAGAACACAAAATTTTAATATCATTTTTTTATTGAAAATTATAAAATTTTGTAAATTTTAACACTTATGGGAGTCGATAAACAGAATTATGAAATTAAAAAAAAAAGAATTGGATGAATTTTGTCATATATATACCAAAATATCTATTCTACTTCAACCTATCTTGAACTGAAACCAGACCCTCGAACTCCATCATGTATTGCTTATCCAGCAGCCATTACACAACTCTAGCTTCTCTTACCAATAACTCTTCTTCTACTTCTCCTCAGACCAACCATCCCACAAACCCTCCTTCACGTAAACCTAAAATCCCCAGAAAAAATAACTCACAGCAGCAGAAACAGCTCCAACTTATGGAGATTGAACGAGCCATCGGTGCTGGCACTTTTCGTGACAATGAACCCAGGCAAGTTCCTTTAAGTCTTTCTCCATTTGTTTCTTTTTTTTTTTTTTTTGTTAAGCAACTTTTTTTTTCAGTAAATAAATCGAACTTTTTTAACTTTAGGATATTTCGTACTGTAGTATTGGAAACATTATCGGCTAATATTGAACCTTTTATCATTAGGAATCTGTTGTGGTACTGGGAACAGTAACATTACCCGGATGAATCTGTTAATTGTGAACCATGATGAATCATGTAAAAGTGACAGTCTAATTTTGTTTACTGTTATTATGTTTCAAAATTCTGGATTTTAATGTCGCTTTTTTAATGATAAATGAGTGAAACTTGTCCATTTTTTTTGCCAGTGATGCTAAATTTTGAAGATTTTTTTTCCTCTTTTGTAATGTGTATAGGGACTCGGAGAAGCAGAAGAAGATAGTATTTAATGGGATTTTGCCAGATCTTAGTGGCGTATTTGAAGGACCTGTTGAGAAGCAGCTTCGTGAGACTGGAGAGTGGTTTTCTAGTCACACCGAGAAACGCCTCCGATCCTCCAGTGTTGATTTTTCTCTTATTTCATCAATCTTTCAGTGAGCTCTTAACATGATTTAGTTTCTTTTATTCTTGATCAAGATGACATATAAGCCTTAAATTTTGTGTTTCAAGAGTAAGTGTTTACAACTTGGATAAACTAAAACCCAAAATTGTTGAACCATTTGCTAAAGATTTGAAAGCTTAAGTGCTGATGGATTTTGCAATTTGTCTTCATTGTTACGAATGGCTTGATGTGACAACATTTTTCTAGTGAATTAGAATTAGAATTAGAAAAATTCAGTAGACTGCTAAGTGTCACGTACTTAGTTCTTTGGCTAAGTTCCGTGCGGCCTTAACACTAGGAGATGGTGTTAAGCAGCCTTAAATTCACATAAACACAAGGACTAGCAGTAATGAAAATGAGTAGGAAGGGAGTATAGAGAAAATTATAAACTCTATTGCTAGAAATTTTGGATCCTACACATTATACATTTACAAAGTGAAGTGCCCTATTTATTGGCAAAACCTCTTAAAGGAACTGTCTATATACATTTAATACTTCATGCCTAAGTTTCCTAAGTTAGTTGACAATTAGCAAATCTTGAAATGGGTGAAGCATAAGGTAATTGCTCATTAGAAATGAAGTTTCCTAGCTATGAAGTTTCCTTGGCCATGAAGCTCCTTAGCGATGAAGCTCTTTTAACCATGAAGTTCCTTAGCAAGGAAGCTTTTTAGCCTTGAAGCTCTCTTAGCAAGAAAGTTTACTTAGTGGTGAAAGAGTTAATAACTTCTTTGAAGCTTTCTTACTAATGAAGAAATTACTTAACAGCTTCTAAGAAGTTATTATGCCGGTTGCCCACGACGTCATGCATGATGCTTCTGTTGTTAAGCAGGTTGGTTGTGACACTCTCTCACACTTATTGCTGCGATGCCTTCGTCACATTATCCTTGTAGCGCTAGATTGATAATTGGAATTGTCATAATGAGTCTTTGGTCTCCCAATTGGCTTCGGTAGCGGGCAGTCCCTTCCATTTGACGAAGTACTCCCGATAATTTGGCATGCCATGTCGCCTAATGACTCTATTGGCAAGTATTTCTTCAACCTCCTTGTCAAAGGATGTTGCAATGGTTGTTGGTGCTCGGGTCAAGACTCCTCGGGATGGCTCCTCCGAGTCTTCCTGGAATGGCTTTAGCAAGCTTACATGGAAGGTCGGATGTATCTTCAATTTCAGAGGAAGTTGGAGTCTATACAAAACTTTGCCTATGCGCTGAATTATTGGAAAGGGGCCTTCATACTTGCGCACTAGACATTTGTACACCTTTCTTAGCGTTTTGAATTGTTGAGGCAACAACTTTACAAGGACAAGGTCGCCTTCTTGAAATCAACATGCTTTCTTTTCTTGTCAGCGTACTTTTTCATTCTGTTCATTGCTTTATATAGGGTAGCACGGGTAGGTTACGCTGGTTCGTGCCATGATTTGGCCAACCTGAATGCTGCGGGGCTCCTCCCATCATAGCATGTGGCTAAGGAAAGAGGTGTGTTTGGTTATTTTCCCATGATGATCTCGAAGGGACTCTTGTTGGTTGCCTCACCCCACTGCAAATTATATGAGAATTGGGCTATATCAAGAAGTTTTGCCCAATCCCATTGGCTAGCACTCACATAGTGTCATAAATATAGCTCTAACAGTGCGTTGATGCGCTCGATTTGGCCACCAGTTTGGGGGTGGAAGCTAGTTGAGAACTCTTTCAAAACCTCCCAGTGAACCAAGGATCACGATCGCTAACAACGCTTCTTGGAATGCCCCATAGCTTGACAACGTTGCGAAAGAAAAACCTAGCTGCTTCTTCTGAAGTGCAATCTGTGTATGCGGGGATCAAGGTAGCATATTTGTTAAACCTGTCCACTATGATTATAATGCTTTCGAACCCTTCAGACTTTTGCAAATAGGTGATGAAGTCCATTGAGACACTCTCCTATGGTCTCTCGGACACGGGCAACAGGTCTAGCAAGCTTGCTGGTTGCTGCTGCATTACCTTGTCTTACTGGTAAATAAGACACGTTCGTACATACCCTTCAATGCCATCTTGCATCCCAAGCCAATAGTAGGCAGTCTTCAAGAGAGCAAGGTGTCACGACGAGCCTGCTCGATGACACAAGCATCCTGCATGATGTCGTGGGCAATCCGTACAACAACTTCCTAGAAGTTGTTAAGTAGTTTCTTCATTTGTAAGAAAGCTTCAAGGAGGTTATTAACTCCTTCACCACTAAGTAAACTTCCTTGCTAAGAGAACTTCAGGGCTAAGGAGCTTCATTGCTAAGGAACTTTATGGTTAAAGAGTTTTATGGCCAAGGAGCTTCATGGCCAAGGAAACTTCATGGCTATGAAATTTCATTGCTAAAAAGCAGCCATCTCATGCTTCATCCATTTCAAGATTTGCTCATTACCAACTAATTTAGGAAACTTAGACATGAAGTATTCAATGTATATAGACATTTCCTTAGGAGGTTTTGCCTATAAATATGGCGCTCCACTTTGTGTAAATGCATAATGTGTAGGACCCAAAATTTCTAGCAACAGAGTTTACAATTTTCTCTATACTCTCATCCTGCTCATTTTCATTACTGTTAGTCCTTGAGTTTGTATGAGTTTAAGGCCATACGGAACTTAGCCAAAGAATTAAGTATGTGACAAGTGGTATTAGAGTCTTGGTTGATACACAATGGCAAAGGATACTGTCGGTGGAGCAAAGGGATCCAAGACGTCTGAAACTGAAAATCCCCGAGAACATGTTCGTCAGGAGAAAGTTGACACCAACCTCTCAAAGCCGCGAGGTAAGTCTAAAGACCTTATTTCCAGTTTTGACTTACGTTTGTCTCGTGTAGAAGAAAGGGTGAGCACAGTTGAATGAGCTAGATCATTGGATGGATGATCTAGAAACGAAGGTTACCGAAATCCATATTGTTGTGAAGGTCATGATGGTCCAACTGGAGGAGTTGTTGAGGACTAAAATGGGGAAAATCCATGACGATTTCATGGGTGAACTCGCCAAAACATGTCATGTGTTCCAGACCAAAATCAATAGCACTAATTTAGTGCGACGCAAGTGCGCCATGGTTGCAAGACTCGGTAGCAACACCATTAAAGTTCAGAGGATTGATGTTCCAAAGCCTAAAAGCTTTGGTGGCTCCCGCAAGGTGCAAGAAGTTGACAAGTTCTTGTGGGAACTAGACTAGTACTTTTGGGCTGTAGGCGCCACGGAAGAGACCTCCAAAGGCAAACGTTGGGACAAAAGCTCCAACAAACCACACCTTGTTGAGTGCCTCTAAGGAGCTTTTGTCCTAATGTTTGTCTTTGTCCCTGCCCTTGGATGAGGTAGTGTCCTGGCGGGCATCCCAATTGTTTTCTTTGGTTTGCCTTCTGTCTCCCGCACCTTTAGCAAAGTTGCCTTTCTTATCTTTGGGTTTGCTAGTGGGCTCTCTTTGGTTGTTATAATCTATTAAGCTTTCCTCAATCGCTATGGTTGTGGCAACATCATGTACTCCTCGACGCCTCAGTTCCTTTTTCACCTACGATTGTAGTCCATCTTTAAATTTGAATTGCTAGTCTTTGTTGGACATCTCAGGGATCTCCAATATCAAGTTTGTGAAGTCTTTGATGTAATCACGGATTGTCCCTGTTTGCTGGCAACGTTTGTTGGAGACAAACTAGTGAATGCATATCCTTTTAA